AGATATCCGCCTGAATCGTGGGTATGTGTTCACTGTTTAATTGCTGAAAGTGATTACATTTTTTTATAGATATATACCATCTTTAATTTTTAATCTCAATCACTTGCTAACTTTCAAGATCACACTATTAGAAATATAATGAGTTATAATATTTTCTTTTAGTGGTAGATTTTTGCTAGTATATTTCTTGATATAAATGACAGCTTTAAGAGATCCAATAAAATCCAAAGATGTACTATATTTGAAAAAAAAATTAATTTTAATCTTAACTACATATGATTTAATTTGCATTCAGTGCTTTTGAATATTTATCTATTGCTAACTTTGCAATCTTATAAAATCTTAGCAATTTTGTGCACTTACCTTAAATTTTAATTTTGCAGTAGGAGAGCTAGGGGCTGGTTGTAACAGATTTTTTTACAATTTAATATATCTTGAGATCTACTGATTGCATTTGTTCTAAATAAAGATGGTTAGTTGCTGTAACTATTATTCTACTACCGAATTAAGTAAATATACTTCCACAACTGTTGTTCATTACTTCACAATTAATTATTTTTTAGATAAAGTGCGGTGTTACAATTTACTTCGTGTTTGAGGCTAGTTGTAACGTTTACCAAGCAAGTAGTAACGACAAGAAAACAACAATAATACCTCTGCTAATTTATTCTTTACTAATTTTTAGGAAAGTTGACTTGTTTCTGAGTAATTCTTTTTGCAAATCAACGCAAACTATAACTAATACAGATAAATATATTATGTCTCAATTTATTGTATATTGTATATAGTTATATGTTTATTGTGAATCAACGTAAACTACAATTATTATCATAATTCAAATAAAATATATAGTATTTCCTTTAAAACAATTTATATTTACCCACATATCACAAACTATAAAATCTACCCAAACTTCTTCACTTGAATTTTTATATAATTCTTGTTACAACTTACCCCCATTACATGTTACAACTAGCATCAAGGTTTTATTTCAATTAACGTCAGATGTTATTTTTTACATTAATCAAGATAACTAGGGTAGGGCGGGACTAGTTGAGCAAATTTTTACTTATACGGCTGTAGCTCCTCAATGAAAAGTCTCAATAATTGCTATATGCTATACGGCTTAATGGATTTGTTGTTTATCGCTTAACAAAAGTGTTAAAACTATTTTTTAATAATAAGTAAAATTTAAAGGCTACAGCTGTTTAAATGCAAAAAGTCAAGTATGCTCAATGTACCACATAGGTGGGGCAAGTTGAGCACTAAGAAAGTATAATAAAATCATAGGTTCAATGTCGATTAGTGATGAAATAAAATAAGTTTTTAATACCAGTTCTTTATTTATAGTTTTTATTGACAGAGAAAACAAAACTTATAGTAATTTGTTTTGAATAATTAACGAAAAGTAGAATCAACAAAACAATATCCTATCTTAGGAATTATTTTACCATTATATTCAGTATTTTTAGCTCAACTAACCCCAACTCGGAATTTCAAAATAAAAGTGAGTTTATAAAAAAACCGTGAAAATTATACACAGAATCTCTGTGCATATTAAAATACTATAATTATATAGAAGAATAACATTTACCTGATTAAAATAAATAACAATTGACTAAACCAGACGAAAACTCGTGATGAATTACTTTTTTACTTTTTGGTCTCAAAATAAACAAACGCCCGTGAGCCTCACTCATTTGTCCAGTATATTTGTATATTTTAAGATCCTATTGAAAATATCTGTTACTAGTTACCCCCGTTACATGTAGCCCCTAGTTCCTCTATATTAATTTAAATTACCTCGAGGAACAACATATAAAGATCTGTATTTGTATCATTGGTATGATATAGACTGGAAATCGTAATGCTAAGGTATGTTAGCTAATAGTCATCCAAAAATGTTAGTCAGCTGACTTTAAGCAAAAAATTTTTTGCTCTAACCTCTTAATTATCACAACATTTATATAAAATTTTGACATTAAAAAAATCTAGAAATCCACAGACTGGAAACACCACTTCTAGAATACATATTCTTCAATCTGCTACACTGGTCTGCTTTCGCCCAAATCGACCTATTGTTCTTTATGCACACACCACTCATTCTACTTCCACCCATGCGACATCCGCTCTAGGCCGGATGTCCCTAACACACGTGTTATATAATTCAGCGGTTTCCGGGCGAAATAGAGCGACAGACCTGTCTTGCGTTGATATTCATACTTGATAATAACGGGTTGGTTTTCCGATAATAAAAGTATTTTATCCTTGTTATGTAATACAAAACTTGCATGGGATAGTCTGAATTTTTTAAATCATCTCATTTTTTTTTTCATATAAGAATTCAGAAATTTTAGTTTACATTGTATATGATAACATTCAAGTAATTTAATTGGTTAATGTTATAACAGTTTGTAAAGTTTTGAATCGAATTATTTTTTATTCCTCTAAAAACAGAGATTCATTGGTGAGGTAAATATCCATATGAAAATATTTACTCTGAAAATTTACTTAAAATATAAATTCAGATAGTATAAGTAAACTTAAATTATTATTTTGAACTTATATTTTTTCCAATGTTATATAATAATTCAACGTTAAAATTAAACATTTAATTTGAACGAGAATTTTCATGTAATCAAATTTCAATGTTTTTTTTTTTTTGTTTTTACGACACAATTTGCATTTCATTTTTCATGCAAGTTTTTTATTTATTTTGGAAAATGAATTCGAAACTTTTGCATGCCACTTAAATTTTATTTTACGTCTGATTAATCAAAATGAATTTTTGCAAGTATTTCATATAACTGCATTTACGATTTTGCCAAATTTTAAATATATTTTTTTCCAAATTTCTGTGACTGATATATTTGAGATGGAATGGATAATAGGAAATATATATTCATGATTACCGGTTAAATTCATTTAAAAAAAGACGATAAAATGAATATATAGACCTAAAAATAAGTTTAAACATGATGAAATACATTCCAATAGTTTGTTAAAATTAATGCAAATTTTTACTCTAATTAATTCATCACTTTGTATTATTTTTCAATTAGTTTTATATAAGTCACGAACTAGTCCTCATATCTCAATATAAAATCAGCATGTTGTTTTAATGCATGCAAATACTACGGAATACAAGTTTTGCATTTCTAATTGAGATTTACATCTAACAAATAATAAATACTTAAAATTTTCTATATGACATTTAAACCCATATATATATATATATATATATATATATATATATTTGTGTATGTAAATATAATAATATATACTCCATATTGATAACATAATGTGTAGTACATATACTTCTACGGTTATAGAGCACTTTTAATATTACTTCAGATTTCAGGTGTGGCTCGTACTTACACCTGCATATCAGTGCCCCATATATTTTTATGATGTAAAATGTGTCGGTAAGATAAGGTTATCCTTAAGCGTTGAAGCATTTAACTATAGGACATTTTATATGTACGTAGTATATGTCATATAAAATATATTTCAACCACATAATATACAACAGCATGTTGTAAATTTTCATGTCTGTCTACTGCAATTTTGGAGAATTCTATAAGCATCGTCAAAAATAACGTCTTGAGCATCATCTTATAATTTATTTAGCTAGTTTTTTATATATATTAATATATATATATATATATATATATATTTGTGCGCGCGTTTAATCATCGATAACTATATGAGAATTTAATAAATCATTGCGAATTCATTACATAAATGGACTTCAGCAACCACTTAAATATATATTAATTTCATCACTCGGGCATCGTGAGCAACTTTGGCTCAAATAAAAAATCAATATTCTGATTGATTTTTTTTTTAATTGTTAATTCATGAAACGCGTTGTGTGTGTAAAAAATTAATTTAGCACTAATAAACAAGATATATTTTAACAACAATCAAGTACATCAATTTATAGAAATGTATACAGGAAAGTTTACGTTACTCGTTATTTGTTTTTCAGTTTCATATATAGATGTATGAATTATTAACTTATAAATAATATGTATAAAAAATAATTTTTCCATACACTCTAAATAATTCTCACGTTAGTATTTTATGATCATAAACCTACATTTGGTAAGTTTTCCCTTTTTCCAAGAAGAAAATCTTCGATTATTTTCGTACGTGTTCATTCCTACTGGTGTCTTTTGTACTAGTTTACGTAGAATCAATAACCAAGGGAGGTGTCTCAGTCAAAAAATATACCTGAATGGATTATGATACAGATGTTGATATTGATAAGCATGTTAATGGTTTTGTTTTCGTTGATACCTTCACAGTAATTATTGAAATTTTCATATCACAATCATAAACATCGGCAACACAATTAAATGTGTATCGAATACGATTGTATTAATAGTTGGTTAAAAATGTGTATATTTTCAAGTTACTAAAATAAAAACTAAACTCCAATGTTTATAGACAATGTATATCTAATACCTATAATCCTTGCAAGTTGAGTTACTTACTACGAAAATATATGAATTAGAGCATGCATACGTAGTCTTCAATAGAAATTATGTTCACATTATCCACAAATGTCCACTGCCATTAACTTCAATATGTAACATGTTTTTTTAACAATCCTGCATCTATAATTTTTGTATAATGATTCTCTTCCATTTATTTAAAAATACTTACGCGTTTTAGTAACTAAATGTTAATAAATATGAGTCATTACATTAAACATGGAAGACATTTCTTTTTGTCGACTTAAAGAAAGGATTAGAAATGTTTTTCCATCTTAGTGAGTTTCTTAGAGAGAACGAAGTCTTTGCACGGCGCGAGCAAGTTTCAAAATATACTTAAGAGAGAAATTCCAAGTTTTAGACTTATATATGTGTGCATCTAATGTGTATGTAAATAATAAATACGTACTATACAATGTACATATAATACATACATACATATTTTATATATATACTTTTTTTAATGTTGAACATATTTGATTATTTAACAGCCAATGCATCAAAATAAAATATATACTATTTATTTAAAACCGTATAGTTTTGAGAACAAAATGTTTTCTATCATTCAGCTGTTTTACAAAAATAATAATTGACTTCATACTTCATTTTCATCGAGTATGCTTGATAGAATTACGTTAACTATATAATAATAAAAATTAATGCCGAAATTAATTATGTACTTTAACTTATAATATAATTATACCAGAGTGCTAGAACTCTTCTTGTTTTCATTACGGTCAATTCTTATTGTTGGAATAATTATTGCGAAATGTATCTATACACAATTGAAGAAAATGGTTGAGGTAAAAAAAATAGTTAAGAAAAAAAATGTATTCAAATTGTAGAGAATAGGTCTGATCGCTCCACCAGTTATCTAGAAGTATTATTTAATATATTAAGTATTTTTATTATTTTTATTTTTAAGTCGTGTCTCTTAAATGAATTTTATACCATGATTCGTATTCAAATTTATTCAAAATATTAAAATGTATTTGAAAGAAATGAAGATCTATTACAAGTTATGTAAAATTATGGTCTAATATTCAAATAATTATTCAATAGAAACTGTATTCAAGGTAAACTATATCGAAATTCATCTAAAGACATAGTTACCATCCCTGTTAGTTTTTAACATTTTTTATATTAATATTATATTTTTTATATTAATCTTATGTTATTTGTTTTGTGTTATTTTTTAAATATTTTATCTTTGAGATGATAAAATATAAATTCAAATTGATTAATGCTATATAAGTCCCTTAGGAATAGCTGTTCAAAATATCGATCAACTCTAACATTACTAATTAAGCCGATCTCGATTTGATAGCCGCGTTGCGGATAGTAATTAATAAATTGCATCAAACGGTTTGCCTATAGTGAACTGCATTTATTGGGATAAGTTGTAATACTTTTTAGAATAATTGACTTTCTGATATGAAAGTTATTGTAATCGACTAATAGTCAAGATACATAATCGTTTTTTAAATGATAAGGATTTTGAAATGCTCTATATTGAAATTAAATGCCAGGTTGTATTTAAATATGTACTTATATTTATATGAATATAATTTTTGGCAACAAAATTACATATTGAAAAATTAATGGATATGACATAATTCGTAATCCCATTAATCAAATTGTTTTAGCAAATAAAAATAAAACGAGGTAGAAAAATGAAAAATATTAAATAAATAAATATGATCTTTGTGTTACATTTAGTAATATGGTTAATATTATTATTGACTGAAATAAGTGGACGATATAAATATGAAGTATATTCATTGTAACAATGTAATGTAATCAATTGCCTTTTCAAAAGGAAGCTCTATTTGATTTTTCCTATAAGTTGTAAACGAAATGTATCGTTTGTAACTAACTCTATTTAACTTATTTTTAATCTTTTAATCTCTATTATGACATAACTGTAATGTTTCTGTGAGTTTTTGCTATGGAGTCAGTAATTTTCCTTGCATGTTCAGTTTTTTTCTATTTTGTTTTAGTTTGCATTTATTCCACTATCTACATGTCAGTGTGATGAATGTTTTTTATCAGGAAGTGAACGATAAATAAATACGTGTGTATGCATATTGAAACTTAAATTATATGTTTATTTAATAGAAATCGAAATATATTTATTTCTAATACATTTGAAATAATACATTTCTAATATATTTGTTTATTTGTAAATAATAAATTTTATAATATACTAATTAATATATATATATATATATATATATATACATATATATATAGTTAGTTGGTTAGTTCAGATTATGATAATAATAAATAGGAGATTACATGGCTTGGTAGCTAGCTAGTAATGTTTTTTTCATATTTTTTAATGATACGGCATACAATATTCACTTCTTGACGCATGGTTTATTTTATTATAATGAAGAATGCATAAAACGGTATGACAAAACCGAAGTCTTCCTTGTATATTTGTATGATTTATATTTATAAGTTTTATTGTCTTGTTTTTTCTAAATGTCAATAAAAGGGTTGGTGCTAATGAGTTTTGAAAGAATTTTTTAAATAAAACTAGTATTTTAACTAGATATTAATTTGTTTTAATACGAATGTTCATATTCTAGCATTTTTTACTTGAGTTAGTACTTTTTGTTCAGGAGTTTAGCAATGAAATGAAGGATTTTCGGTAAATACTCATATAACGCCATAACGATCAATTAAATAGAATTCTCGATTCACGCATGGAAACCAATTCAGGAAATTGCGTGGTCTATTTACGCTCAATAAAGTGTCAAAATTAACTAACTATCCTTAGATTAGTATTGCCAAATCTTTTAACAATTACAATGAAACAAATTTTCTTTTTATATTAAATTATATATAATTATAATATATTACTTAAAATAATTTATGAAGCGCATTTTCGGCAGTTCATAAACAGTGAACTATAAAGTAGCTTTTGACATGTTTGATTTGTTCAAAATAAGACTAGAACTGAAAAGTTCATCTTATTAATCCTTCATTAGTCTCAAAATCAACGGCCTCGTGAGTATCGTCATAAACTATTTTATCATCAAAATAATAATTAACTTCCCGTAGGGCAAGTTATAGTAATCGCAAAAAAATCAAAAATGAAAATTTTTATATATCCTTACGTTTCAGAGGTTTCTGAACATTTTGGCATACCTTAGAAAAAATGGATATATGAGTGTGTGTGTGTGTGTGTGTGTATGTATGTGCGAATACAAATTTTCGTCGACGATTTCGGGAACACGGATCAACCGATTTGAATAATTCAAAAAACATTTCACTTGTATTGACAAGATGAAGAATCGATAAAATTTTCATGAAGGTAGGTCTAGCGGTTTCGGAGATACGGAGGAAAAAGTAAAAAAATGAGCCATTTGGCGGTCAAAAATGATCATTAGACATATGCACATCAAAGTATCAGATATTTTATAGAGATTTTAACAATAAGTATACATTTTGTTAACATTCCTATGGGTTCCGTACCAATGTCCTTATGCGTTAGACAGCGACGCGGCGCTTACGCGCTTTATATTTGGTCCCTATGCAGTTAAAGCAGTACGATTGCTTTGAAAAGAAAGTTCAGATCTTCCACAATATGTCAAAATAAAGAAAAAAAAATTTTTTTCAAAAAAAAGTAATTTTTTGTCAAATTTATAGTTTCTCAAAAATCTTATTTTTTCAAAGTAATTTTTTTTTCAAAAATATTACTCGTTTTTAAAAAAATAATAATTTTTGGTACGGGAATTTGCCTTAAGGCACGATGCCTTAATTGCCTTAAGACAGAATTCCACTTACAGCTAGTTTTAAACTGAAAGCACCAGCCCTTTTTTATAATGTTTCTGCACATCGATGTGCCCGTTGAGCCATCGTGCTACAATCTGTGTCTTTTCTTTTTTGTCGTTTGTGTCGTGCAGTGCGCCCAGGGCAAGGCTGCCTGGCTGGACCGCGGCAGACGTTGCAGCGTCTCAGAAACCGCAGCCTGTCACCGAATAAAGCAGTCCGAGGCGCACATGCGCTGGATGAAGCGCAACAGGGTGAGCATCATACCTGAATCCTTCTACCATCAATCCTTCAAAATGGCATTGACTCTATGTATTTTCAATTTCACATACTTAATACATGGTAGTCAGTCAATACATATCGGTATTAGGCTTTTTGTTTGAAAAATTGTATTGATCAACATAATGTATGTTTATTTCTAGTAGAACAAATCGATCACGTTCGAATAGAATATTTTATAAATCTTTGTTTGTTCTAGATTAGAAATCTTAGATTACTGTTCTGGATTTTTCTGGTTTCATAGGTTCAATGTTTTGTATTCAGTATCAATACATTTTTATTTCTTAACTTATAAGACTTACCTAATAAAGAAAATCAAATCGATTAAGATTACATAGAATTAAATTTTCCCAAATATTACCTTCATTATATATATTTTCCAAAATATTACCTTTATTTACAAAATATTACTTTATTAGCACGGGGAGCTGAACAAACTTTTATTTTGAACACGGATAAATATTTTTTTTAAATATGTAAAAGATAGTAGATTATTATTAGTCTGTAAATATTTTTAATTATGTCAAAACAACAAACATGAATGTTTTCGTTGCTCTAATAATTAATTTTCAGAACAGTCAGCTTACAATTTGGTGTGGTGATTACACAAAATCGATACACGGTAAATATGATTGGCAACAGCACGAATATTGACAGTAGTTGTATACTGAACAAAATTTTAACGTGTACTTTCGTGTATGTGGCACATGCAAATGTTAATAAATTATATAGTTATGCATAACCATGGGAGGCAGTAAACGGTATGTGTAACTCTTGATTGTTGGAATCAATATGCACCACACCACATTGTCCGTCTGATTTTCTTGCAATTTTGATCAGTAAATAATAACTTTACCTGTTTTTATATAGTAGTGACACTTTTTTTCTAAATCTTTGTGTTTTGTGATATGTTTTAGCTTTGAAATCTGTTACATGCATTTATGTCTAAATCTTTTATGTAATAATCATGTCTGCTTGAAATTTTCCTACTTATCTAACTAGACATGATAATGTTAGACCAATTATATATTTCCAAAAAAAAATGAATGTTATGTTTTTGTTTATAAATAACTTACACTTTCCGTTACAAATGTGGACAAATATGGTGGACATACTTTGTTTTGTCGTAGGGATAATATTTTTTTTAAAGAATGCTGAAAGGTATTACTAGCATTTTCAACTTAGATCTCAAACTTTGCAGTATAATACTAATTCAAATTCATTTAGTGCGTAATATACACAATGAATACAATAAAAAAATATACAAAAATCACTTTGTGTTATAAATAGATGTTTATAAAATTTGGCTTAATGTAGAAATTTTGTTAAATGTATACAACGAATAAAATTATGATTTAATTTACATTACAAATAAAAATATACAAATAGTTATATCAAAGTTTTTCACAGAATATCATTTGATGTAAAAATACATTTTAGAAAAAAATCTAATAAAACTGAGCACATAAAGTTACTCTATAGATTCACTAATCTTACAAACTATTCGTTACACCTGAACGCGATAAAGATTATTCAATTCGGAGTTATACATACGAATCGTATGAATGAATATATGTGTATGCATAATATGGAAGAAAATATGATACAGAATTTTTTATGAATAATTTTACAGATAATTATACATAAATCTTTACATTAAGTTACTCAAATAACGTATCGTAAATACCTCGTACTACATTTTCGTGGCCATATATATCATTCAGTAACCGAAATGACTGCAACCACAATTTTTGTTGTCTAAATAGACTTTGTCGCTCGCGTTTTCAGGTGGAGAAGCAATATGTTTAATGATCGTAATTCACAAACGACCTAATTTTACTCATAGCATAATCATTTCCCGTTACCACCGCCGCAACGCTGTTTGACCTTTCTCCAGGTTTGTGTCATGTCGGCCAAATGATCAATACAAATGCCAGTTTCGTGTTGAACTGCACAAATCAACATCTATCCTACTGATACAATTCTTCATGAAAACCAATAGTCTTTCATTGAATATTTACATGATAGGTGTATTTCAAGTTTTTTCTAAGTTGTGCCAAATGTCTTCTTGACAAACGTAATATATAGGTGCAAAAGGCAAATGTTTCTAATGTGCATACAATCTTAATTAATTTTAAAAGTAAAGCTCTAAACCTGATAAATACCTAGCCTATATTTTTATTTTAGTTGTGATTATAATAATAATAATGCATAAATTTTCCGGCTATAATCTACCGACCGTTCACCCTTCAATATTATTTTTATTTGAAGCGTAAAAATGAATTTTTATTTAACCCAGTTTTATTACTAAAATGATCGGATAGTCTACTAAACCAAGAAAGACATTTAACACTCAAAAGTTTTGGAAAACATGAAGTAATTCACACCCTGGTTGCGAAATATGATTTTAGATACATGACGCATCATTCGGAGGTAGTTCTTCTGATGATGAGGACTTCTTCGGCTTGTACCAACAAAGCTCTGCAGCCAATGCGATTTTGTACGTGGGACTTGGTACGGTAGCGATAGGATTAGTCATATCTTTTGTCGGCACTGGCGAAAAGGGCTTTAAAACATTAGAATTGAGGTTGATTGGACCTACGTTAATAGGTATGCTGCACTATGTTATGATTATAAATGTTTTATGAATAAAGTTCCCAAAATATGATTTTTTTACGTTTCTATTAACTTTTATTCCGTGTTGAAGGTTGTGGCCTTCTATGTTGTTTGGTACGAATACTTCTGTGTTTCTGCCCTTCGAGATGTGGTCGTGCCCGCAGAAAACGACAGCGAAGTAAACGTGTAACTGCAGCAGGCGGTAGCGAACGTTGTCGCACTGCACCGATTTGTGCTGAATATGACCTGCGCCCACCAGGATCAGCCAGCGCGAAACAAGGTGTGATTAATCTAATGCTCTTCTGTATTTATATTCTAATCTTCTCTTTTAAGACATATTGCATGAATAATTCTATATTTTATCAAGGTTTAATGGCAAATGGTGAGGAAGATTTGGCGCTTTCCGAGCAATGCGCATCTCTGCTTCGACAAGATCCAAATCGGCAAAGTCATAAAAAGCGGGTCTCTATAGCGCCTTGTGGAAATACGAATACTACGACGTACACGACGCAGTGCGAACGGCCTGATTCAAATCACCAGATGCCGCATTGTTCGAAAATTTTCCAACCATCACAATCAATTCAACTTCAGATGCAAGCAATTCAAGGGCACGAAATGCAGAGCTTGGATGTTTGTAGTGTTACAAGTAGCGAGGAAAATCTGATGACGGTAATCGAGGTATGATGAATTGTAAAATTCTAAAAGTGTATTTTGATTTCGGACGTAGACAGTAATCAGTAGCTACGTACGAAATACCACAAAACGTACAGAACGCGCCGGCATAAATTCTGATCAGAATCTTTCAAGCTTTAATGGTTTTTTATAATTCAAGCGCTTATCGTATTACGCTTATAAAAATTTAGTATGTTACTTCAGACTTTCAATACCTTTCGATTCAAGATTGTGGTTTAAAACTTTGACGAATAATTTTACTTTTTTCTGCCAATTGCAATGGCTTGGTCGATCGTCGCTAAAACTGTCCTAATCGATATACATCTAATAACTTCTACATTTTCGAGATCAGTCCAGCCGTTTATGCGAAAACGTCGACAAAAGGTCAAAAATGGGCTCACGTACACACGCATGGACGCACACACAAACATTTTCTAAATTTGTTCTCATTCGGTTCAGAATCACTTGAAACGTCGAGAAAACATAAAATCAGCAAATCTGATTGTTTCGCAAAAACAAACTTGTCCTTCGGGAAGTTAATTAATCTATAAAAATACTACCATACGATTTTTTTTATTTTAGGTACCAAAGATTCGTCCAATGAGTGAACCTACTGCGTCCAATTCAAACAACGGAAACGGAAACGCGACAGGGAGTTGTCGTCCTGAACTATTACTAAGTCCTTCGCAACTGGGCCAATGAGATGCTGCCAGCGCCAGCAGAGGGCTCGAACTCTGTAGGCGCGAAAGGGTTCTTGCGGCCGGATCGCTGCGTAGCGTCTCCGCTGATTCATCACCAGTCAATGTTTCATCTGTTTCCTGCACGTCTTCATCGAAAGACAGTCAGAACGATACGTCAAAATCGTTTGACTATTTGCAATATAAATGGTGATTTTTAGAGTCGCAGGAGGCGATTATACAAAGTTCAAGTGCAAGGTTTGTGACCGTTAATTTTGCATTATTTTTGACTACTATTAATATACCTTTGCTAAAGGGTTCTATTTTCCTAAAACGTCTTTCCGAAGTTTCTAAAAGTCTTAGTCTATTCTGGATATGATTTTAATTCTTTTGATTCTGCGTGATAAATGACTTTGTATTGCAATGATTTATTTGATACAGATATTTTCAATTAACATACATTTTTATGGGAATAAAAAATATTGCCTAATATTATCAAAAGTTAGCGAGAATCTCGAAGTGTAAAACAATTAACGAAAAATTTTTGAAACGATGTATTTAAGATTATATACAACTTCATACATTGTATTTATGTATGAGTAAGAAGTATATCCAGTGAATTTAGCAAGTGGTCCAATGTGAGAAATGATAATTATCGTGATAATTAGATGAAAGGAGCTTCGATTTAATTTTATCAAGTAAATAGCATTTACCTACGTTTGACAATGTTTCTACAGGAGAAATACGTTGTTTAAAAGCAATATCTAACTATATGATATTAGCGACTTTTGATGAATATGAATCGCGATTAAAATATTATATGGTGATTTAAAATAACTTACTTTGGCCCGATTACTTAGTGACGAAACTCCAAAAATATATATTTAAGTGATGGTGTAATTAAACATTTGATTTAAATAAACAGTGAATAGTTAAATGCGGAAAATTTTATTCGCTGTTTATAAAATACATAAGCCAAATTAAAAGCGTGAACTTGGTGTATTTTTTTATTATTTCGGACGATATTAAAACAAACAGCTATAAATCCACTACGATTTACTGGCATCAAACAAATATTATCTATTTATTTATAAAATAAAATGTATTTACTTTTTATCTTTATTCTAAATAATAGTTACTCAAATTTATATGAGATCCATACAGAGATGAGCAAATTTTGAGACCATATGTAAAATATTAAAACAAACTATTATGTAGAATTTTTGGTGCTGTTATAACTATGGTTAAAAAATACTTAAATATCTTTATTTTCTTGTTCGTTGTATTGATTTTCATGCAGCCTATTTTTAATTAAAAATTCATTATATTTAAATAATGCTCATCTCAGTTTGACAATATTAAGTGGGCATTTATTTTTATATTTTGGCTTTTTTTTGAGATAAATACGAATGAAAAATACTGCATATTAGAGTTAGCGCTTCCAATATTTATTCTATACTTATTTTAAAATACGTCTTTATAAATTATATAAATTAGCCCACGTAATACTTGCATTAACAATATCATATATCTTATAAGAAAAATGTATATACTTTGCTTTAATATAACGTGAGTAACTAAATTACAATATTTTGAAAGCAACCTTTTTTTTGAAAACAATGCTTTGTTAAAGATGACCAAACCATCAATCACACCTTAATTTATAAATTTGCAAACTCGCCAAAAATTAAATAAAATCATATAGAAAAATATGACATATCTATAATAATATAATTGTATGAAATGAAATATTTTTATTTCACTTTTGAGGAAAATGTCAACATTTAAAATAACAAATAACTGTATTAAAATGTTATGTCAAAGAAAATGAAATAGAAAATATGAAATTTTCAAAGATCTTTTCCATTCATAATGTGAATTGAAAACCGACATTATTCTCAAATCTAAATTATTTGATTTCAGATTAAATTAATTGTTAACTAATTGTATGGAATTAAATTCACATAATTTCTTGTATTTTGGTTATATCTATTGCAAATCTTTATAAGATTCAAGTTGAAAATTAGTTTGAAGTAGGTATTTGGTAAAGGCAATTTGTTGTTCAAGAATGACAAAATATACAAATTGTAATAGTTTAGAAAATCACAAAAAGAATAGTTATATATTTTTTATTTATGCTATATAATACATAATGAAAATATTCTTACATACAAGACAACATGATTCAAGGTTTAATCCAACATTGCTGAGCAATCCATTGCAAATAAAATACAAGTTTTCAGATAAAATGTCAAATAATGAAACATAAGTAAATTAATACTACATACACAACCTACTTAAAAACACAAGTAATTCATAATTTTATAATATTGTTTAGTGGACGAGGCTAAATTAGATATTTTATAATAATTATTTTCATTTGAAAAAGCAATAATCGTTTAACAATATTTAGTAGTCAATAGCCCATTCATTTTCCTGTAAAAATGAATCGACAACTTCCTTCATTGTGAAATTGGGTATGAGTTGATCTTGTGTGAGTTTAACTCTAGTTACAGGATCAAAGTGACCAACTCTTTGCAAATGTTCTTCAATATCTTTCCTTTCATATGTAATCCCACTTGGTGTTATAACAGGTTCATTAAGAATTTCAAAGCTGATTTTGCCACATAAGTAGTCAGGTACTTCTCGTTTCTGTTAATCGTAATGGTGAGTATTATAATGCTACAATTAACAAAGTTTAATAATTTTACTATACTAACCCTCCTTCTGTCATCAACTTTTTCAAATAAATTATTTAATTCTCTTGCATAATTCTCCTAAAATAAATATTTGATATAAAATTTGAGAGATAATTCAATCATAATAATGTATACATACACAGTTTTGTTGTATTTCAGAAGACATTTGACTAATATATTCTTCATTATTTCTATTTTCAGATTTCAATTGTTGTATTTTGTTTTCCATATCTTCTTTTATTAACCTATTAAAAATAATTCTTTTTTATTTTTTTTTAATCTTTAGGATTCCATAATAATATGACCATTCTTAATGAAACCTGAATCAACCTCAATGTGTTTGAAAAATTGAAATTTATGTATAATATGGATATTAAAAATTTAGAGCAAAAGATCATGTTTCAAAGGAGTTATAGAAAAGACAATGGTAAGTTTCTTTTTTTCAACTTTGAAATAACATGGAGTTTTATATCAAAATTCAAGTTAGTCTTAAGATGGCTAGGACAAATATATATATATATATATATATATATATATATATGTATGTAATCCCAATTTTTAACCTATTTAAATACGACTGTAATTCTATTTCCTGAGCAATCCTCTTCTCTTCTTGAACATTCCACCTCTTTTTCCTAGCTAATCTAATTTGTGAAGCGATATCATCACCAAAATTTAACTTCTGTTCTTTAGCCAAATCGTTTGCTGAAAATCAGAGACCAATGTCAAAAATACTATTATTGTTTTATGATGGTTGGTTTCATAATATGCAACCTCTTTGTAAATGCTTAATTGCTTCGTCATATAATTCTAATTCTAGTAAAGCCTGTCCGAGAAAAAAGTGTCCTTTTATTAAATTAGAGTCCATATCCAAGGCACGTCTGCAGTCCTGGCAAGATGCATCCCATCTCTTAAGTTTCAAGTGACACAAAGCACGATTTGTAAAATATGTTGCCATATTTGGATTTTTGATCTGTAAGAGATAGTTTAAAACGATTTCATATTATCTATTTGAGCATAATGTGGATATGAATTTAATACTTAATGACTAATGAGAGTTTAAAACAAAAGTTATTTTATGCAGGTCCATCTATACTAATATTGCAACAAAGGTGTCAAATGTCAAATGAAATCATTCTGTTTGTATAAGATACAACTAACAAATAATAAAATACATGATTCAAAAATTGATTATTTAATCACTACATCAAGATAGAAATTTCGTGTAGAAAAAATCTTACAATAGCCTTTGAGTAACAATTGGCCGCATCTTCATATTTTCGCTGACTAAACATACGATTTCCCTGATCTTTTAATTCTTGATCTGTCAGATTAGCGGTTGAATACATGTGCTTACTCATTTTTATACTAATACTTTTAAATTATGTATCTTATTGCGCACTATATAATTTTATTTTTAATTTCACTTGCAATACAGAAATAAACAAACTATTGTAGTGTGACCAATGCTGTCATCTGTCAGTTTGTCTTAAGATGTGCAAAGTGCAAGTACGGCAACATTAGAAAGAAAAATTAACTGATTTTCTCATTGACAAATTTGAATGTTCTGTTTTTTGTGAACATCTATTATGAACTTTCAAAAATTAAGCTTAAAGTAAATAAAGGAACCAAAATTATATATATATATATATATATATATATATATATAAATATATATAATATGATACATGAGTTTTTACGTATTTTGTCTCTGCACATATTTTCCACAAGATATGTTCCAGATTCTTTGTATTTCATATAGATCAATTAAATTAATAATAATTTTTTTCTGAACACATTATCGAACGTCAATATTTTTGACTTGTATGAATATATGTGTATACTCTTTTTTTTTGTATGTTTATAAATATATATTTTATTAATAATATGACTATTCATTAGATATTGACCAGAACTTAGTTTAATAAATTATTACCAGATAACGCTAATTAACTAATTAACTAAGTTAGCAGGTATCGCTAATTATCTACGTTCCTGCATAACGATAATTGTTATCTCTCCTCAGTGTCGAAGTTATTGTAAATGGCTCCTGTCACACCATAAACTCCATTGTTTTGTTCATATGTCAATATAAATTATTTTTTAATTACATGCAGTATTTTATTTATTGTATTTTTTTAGTTTTTATAAAAGCAATTTAGGCAGGATAAGCTGTGCGACGGAGCGTCTTCTCGAAACTACAATTGCAGGGATCAATAATCGACAACGCGCCTGGTGGGTCCCCCGTTCAATACGTTTTATTACTCTTTAGAATTATACGTGCATATTTGTTGAATTGATTTCAATTGGCTCAACAAGACAAAATTCGTATCGTCGCATACGTATTATTATTTTTAGTATTATGTGTACGGGCAAACGTTGCGTTGCACACATGACGGAAGCAATAAAGCAGCGTCAGGGGCGCCTTTGCAATGCAGCTGAATGTCGGTACTGATGGGGCGTCGAAAAAGTGTGCAGCGGGAATATTAAATCATTGTGTTGATATCGATCAATTAGTCTTGAAAAGAGAGAAATGCGTAGCTGGTTTCAGTGATATATGTTTACAGTCGGCGCAGCGGCCTTCGGAAGTAGCGCAGATCTTCCGGAAGAATCATACTGGCCCAATCTTTGATCCGGGCGGGGAAGATCGGGATAACGCTAGTTCGAGCTGCAACTGTGGACTGGGAGTGCAACGCGACACGGGACGGCTTCGTTGGTGTCCGGGAAGCAGGTTACCAATTCGCATTTCATTTTCTTTTCTGTTATTAAATTTTATAGATAAGAGCAAATTTTCCAAGATTTGAATTCTTGTAGAAATGTATTTAAAAGTGTCATAGCATTTTTTTTAAATTGTAAACGCAGTGTCACATAATCGATAATTTTATTTTATTATAAATTAAATAATTCATTATGAATGCGAGCTAGGTGGAGTCGTTTGTTATTCGTGATTCCTGCCGCTTTGCTGCCATTGCTGGGCTTGTTTGTACTCTTATCTAGGTATTATGTTTTGATAAATTAAATCAATATATGTACTAAGTTTAATTTTTTTTTCTGGAATTGTTGCAAAGTTATAAATTAAAAATGAAACAAATAATATGATCCAGTTTGGGTGCGGTGGGGGCGGGCGACAGTTTACTAACCAGGAGAGGATCAGGCGCTCCCATGCAACGCCGAGATAGCTGCACCGCGGTTCGATACGGTCTTCCTGAACACTTGGAGGCGGAGGAACGAGAAGTATTAAGTGATCTACGAACTTCATTTATACCGCCGGAGTCAGTTGTCCCGCCGAATTGTGTGGTCGGCAGGTCAATTAGATCGAAAAGGCTATCTTGCACCGAAGGTAAAAATAATATTTATATATTTAGTAAAAATTAAGGATTTTCTATTTGAATATTAAGCTTAACTATAATTTAATATAACTATATTTAATATTACATGAGAGTTATATGAAAATAAATATGAGATTGAAAGCAATATAAGGTTGGGTAATATTAAATTGTAGGAAAATGCGATTTATCTTCGCGTCGCACAAGGTTTATTGGAAATCTATCCACTGATATCACAATTTGGGCTAATACTTCATACGGTGATAATCCGATATTAAAATTGCATAAAGTCAGTAACTTTACATTGGAAAATGATGAACCTTTAGCATCTGATGGAAATCCTAAATATAATACTGAACACAAACTGGAAAAAAGAGATGATTATGCACAAGATATTGAAAGTTCCGGAGATGTTGAATTTGACGTGCACTCGCCAAACAAATCAGGTGTTGCTGAAATTCAGTTACCTTGGAAAATCACATCTCTTGGAAAGGATGCTCGGCCTATAAGTAATATATAGAAAGCTGCGTATTTATTAATAATTGTAACTAATACAAATCCATTTATTTAACAGCTGACGATGATTTTAAACAAAGTCAACAATTTGAACTAGAGAATGCTGAGCTACTCGAATCTCCACCAGCACTTGCTCCACATGCAGTTTGGCGTGGACAAGGTTCTCCAGAATATATAAGAAGCGCTCAAGCCGAAGCCATGAAACGATACATGGATCCCACCGCTGATCCATGCATAGATTTTTATCAACATGCATGTGGAAACTGGGAGCGCTATAATCCTATACCGCCTGACAAAGCGGGGTATGCATTATGCATATATGTAAAAACTTACATGCACATTTTTTCGGTTCACATTTTCTAATTGAAATATATTTAAAAACATATCGGCAATCAAACTATTTTTAACAAAAATTCGAGACAATCCGGGACAAAATACCTAAAACCGGGGCAAATATTGCTTTTAGAAAAAACCGGGAGGCAAAGCGGAAAATCGGGACGTATGGTCACCTTAATATATCTATTAATTATTACTCATTACAGTGTCATGCTTTAAAAAAATCCTGAATTAAATACTATGCATCTTTATAACTTTTAACACATTTTATTATTTTATTATGGTTCTACTTTTTTCCACAGATATGATACATTTGAGATGCTTCGCGAAAGCCTTGACCAAGTTCTTAGAGAACTTCTAGTTGAAGTGCCCAAAACGACTACTAAATTTACAAATTACGATTCAGTAAAAAGCTCTGACAGTAACCCTGATATGCAAGTACGCCATTTACGCCACGTACGACGTAATTATCAACAAAATCCATTTCAAAAGCATAGACATCACAAACATCATCAACGAAAACCAAACATAACTAAAGAAAGAAAAGAAGGAAATGTAAGATTTGAATTATTAAAATTGAAAAATTTAATAAATAATATAGAATATATCTATTTATATTGTAATAATGTATTATTTACATTTCAATTTTGCACATGGAGGATGAAGATTCGGATATATACAATGATTCCAAGCTAGAAAGCAAAGATAGATCAATAATTGATTTACTACGCAGATTTCGGGGACAAGATTTCAAACGAGGTACTCGATCAGATCACAAAAGTCGAGGAGGATTATTCAATTTACGTCAAGTTTTATTGATTAGACGAATACGTTCGATGCTGGGTGCAAGAAAGCAACACAAGCGCCAGAACTTAAAAAGGAATGAAGATAAATCATTTTTAACTGAAACCGAGTCTGAATTCATCAGCTCTGAGAAGATTAAAGTTTTGAATAAAGAATATAATGTTGAGAGTGTTCAAACCAATACTGAAAGGAATAATCATAAAAAAAAAACGGCTGAAGATTATAACAATTTAGGCCGTGGGGATGACGAATACGAAGATCCTGCTGGTTATATTACAACTAGTAAGCCTGGAACAAATGTTAATACTACTAAAAATTCTGTAACATCAAATTCTATAAAACATTACAATATTGGTAAGTAGCAAGTATTCGGATTATAAAAAATACACATTTTATAAATCTTTTAATACATTATAATCCTCTCAATAGATTGCGATGAACATGATGCTGTATACAAAGCACGAGCCTTGTACGAATCATGTATGAATTACGCAGTTTTGAAGCGTCGTGGAAATAGTCCACTTCTAGATCTGTTAGATAAATTAGGTGGATGGCCGGCTATAAATCCTAACTGGAATGAAAAAGGATTTGATTGGTTGCAATTAACAGCACAATTAAGAATGTATAATAATGATATTCTTATTGCTGAATGGGTTGGGCCAGATATAAAAAACAGTGACGAATATGTGATACAGTTTGATCAAACAAGTTTAGGTATTAGTTGATTTCTTAAATTTTTCTTTATTGAAATTGAAGTGAAACAAATACCAACAGGTCTTCCTACTAGAGATTATTATCTGGAATCCATTAACATACCATATCTGAATGCATATAGAGAATACATGCTGACTATTACGACATTGCTTGGTGCTAATCCAGCGAATGTGTCTTGCATTGTAGAAGAAATCCTAGATTTTGAGACCAAGTAGGTACTATAATTATATATTATGATTTATTTATCAAAATGTGGCTTTATACCAAATCTATAAATATCTAATATAATTTGTGTATAGACTTGCACAAATAACTACCGCACCGGAAGATAGACGCAACGTTTCTGTTCTTTACCAGCGTCTGTCCATTGGCAGGTTGAAACAATTAGTTCCACAAATTGACTGGATTAGGTAACCCTCTTGGTACATACAGTTTTTTTTAAATCTAATTTGATACAGCGATCTAATTTCATTCGATTAAATTATAGTGAAAAATGAGCTTTAATTTTGATTAATATTTTGTACGAACTCTTTAGTTAACAAGTTAGACTTGTAAACTAGTATGTATTAAGAAAAATGAACATAGGGAGCCAAGATTTTTTCTTTAACATCTATATAAACGAAAATTATTTCTACTTATATTCTGGTATTATTTTCAGGTATCTGAACATTGTACTAGAACGACCTATAAACCCCAACGAAACTGTGGTGATGTTTGCTTTAGGTTATATGCAGGTGAACAAGTTTTAGTTTTTACTAATATTCAAAATTTCAAAAAAATTGATTGACACGAATGAATTCACAATTTCGGACTAATAGAAATATATTAATGTAGTTATTAATATTTTGAGCATGCATATATCTATCTCAATTCTTAGATCCTAGATAATAATAATATAGATAATTTATAAACATTGTCAGGTGAGTTTTTTTTCGATTCGTATTAGGATCTGGTACGGCTACTCGCAAGATCTGATGCGCGTACTGTTTCTAATTACTTGATGTGGCGGTTTGTGCGACATCGTGTCAATAATTTGGATGATCGTTTCCAACCAGCAAAACAGAAATTTTACTATGTTCTTTTCGGTCGTGAACAATCACCGCCACGATGGAAAAATTGCGTTTCGCAGGTATTGTTAACAATTTAAAAAAAAATTAAAAGAATATAATAAATATATTACTGTATCAAAATATTTTATACTAGGTGAACACCAACATGGGAATGGCTCTGGGATCTTTATTTGTTAGAAAATATTTTGATTATACTAGCAAGAATGATACTACAGTAATGACGTCAGAGATTCAACAAAGTTTTAGAGAATTGTTATACAAAACCGATTGGATTGATAATCAAACAAAGCGCTTGGCTGCTGAAAAAGTGAACGCTATTATTTTGAGAATTGGCTATCCTGACTATGTATTAGAACCTGAAACTCTCAACGATAAATACAAGGATGTTAATATCGATAAAGGAAAATATTTTGAAAACACACTAGAAATTTTAACACACCTCACACGGGCAGAACAATCTCGGTAACTATAATAGAAACTAAAATTAACATCAAAAACAATCACTACGATAATGGCGTATGTATTAGGAATATTCGATTTCACGACTAGCTTGGTGTCAAGCAGTAGTGACATCGATTTTCACTTGGAAATATAGAGAACAATATGTTACCAAGTGAAAATAACCCTTGTCCAGCATTTCTGCATAAAAAATCATCAGTATTACAGGAATTGCTATCGCATAGAGTTAGGACAACTGTTTGGGTTGCCATATAAAAAATTCACGTTAGTTATAGTTAAGTCATCACAACAGCTTATAGGACCCTTAAATTCTGTTCGCTCTTTAAAAAATATAAAAAAGAAAAAATTATGAATAGATTAGGTTATAATAGTGTAAATAAAATAAAAATCGTAAGTGCTTACTATATTAATTACTTTTATAAATAGATATTTATACACTTATTATGTATATTAGTACTTCTGATCGGTTTTTGTTTTATTTTAGACTTGGTCAACTCGTAAACAAGACAGTGTGGCACACAGCTCCAGCAGTTGTTAATGCCTACTATAGTCGAAATAAAAATCAAATAATGTTTCCAGCTGGAATTTTACAGCCTCCATTTTATCATCGATATTTTCCACGGTCTCTTAATTACGGTGGCATAGGTGTCGTCATCGGCCACGAACTAACTCACGGTTTTGATGACAAGGGAAGGCTGTTTGATAAAGAAGGAAATTTACACAAGTAAGTGATGAACTAATTTTAATCTATGCAAGTTTTAATTCATATGCGATTATATTTCACAGATTCATATAAGTGAAAACGAAATATCAATTAAGCGGCATATGATGATTTTCCAAATTTGCGATAACAGTTTCGTTGCTATTAGATTCTTCGACTTGTTTTCATTGACCTTGTACATTGACCATTTGCTATTATACATAATTGATTAAACTAATTACATATGTCATCCCATTTATATAATTATCTTATTAGCTTCAATAAATTCAATATTATTATATATATATACATAATATATATATATATATATATATATATATATATATATTATATATACAGGGTGCTTCAAAAAAATGTATACACATTTTGAACTTCCATAGAAAATTTATTTACCGTTCTACAAAGTTAAATTTTAGGAAAATAGAAAGCTGAAAGTCCAATGTAAATGAAACATAAATAACAAATGTTTTGAACAGTACTAACATTTGTTATTTATGTTACATTTATATTGGACTTTCAGCTTCCTATTTTCATGAAATTTAACTTTGCAGAACGGTAAATAACTTTTCTAGTTCTAGAAGTTCTTCTAGTCTAGAAGTTCAAAGTGTGTATAAATTTTTTTGAAGCACCCTGTAAGTACAAAATATCAGATTAGATTATAGTTAACTTCGACTTTAAATAATGAGTGATATTCGGCCTCCTTTGATATTAGACCACTATTTTTTTGTCATAATTTGGTAATCTGTTGGGCTCTGTATTTTATTACATATTATATTTTATTGGTATATATATATATATATATATATATATTATATTTAGACAAGTCCTGGATTTTTTAATAAATTGATATATGTTTCTTCTCCGAACAATACATCCAATAAATAAAATGCAATTTGTTTTTTGTAGATGTTTAATTACGACGTTTTAGAACTAGATACATTCCATCGTCAGGTTTTTTCCGCCAAAAATAATTTTTTATATAGACTAACACTATTACTTATGAAAAATACAGAATATTTTGTAAAAAAGTTTATATATATATATATTATAGTTAAGTATATATATATATATATATATATATATATATATCTTGATAGTTTTTTTGACGTTGAAACATATTTCAAAGTAACTAGCAGCCCATTCGTCTAAATAAAAAAGGTATAAAGTAGAAAAACTGCGTGTCATCATTCAGCAACACAGGACAAAAACACTCAACAAAAATTTATTTTAAAAAATTAAACTTAATAACATACCTTTTTTATTTCGACGAATGGGCTGCTAGTTACTTTGAAATATATATATATATATATATATATATATATATATATATATATATATATGTTAAAGTAGTTAATTTTGATGTTGAGAAATATGAGTAAGTTCTTCAAGGGCATACATCAAATAAAAGGCAAAGATTTAGAAGTTAATCTTTAATTTTTCCAAACGTTTCGACATAGTATTTTATGTCATCATCAGTAGATATAAATATGGTCTTACATCAGTAGCTAGCGCAAGGAACATAATTTTGCACTATCATATATACATAAACTTGTTTTTTTTTAAATTATTTTGTTGAACAGAGTATAGCAAAATATTTGTGAAATATATAATATATTTTGCACAGAGAACGTAGTTTATGTGACAGAGCCCGAGGCTGAAGTGACTTTTTGAACTTAGTGCAAAATTATGTTCCTTGCGCTAGCTACTGATGTAAGACCATATTTATATCCACTGATGATGACATAAAATACTATGTCGAAACGTTTGGAAAAATTAAAGATTAACTTCTAAATCTTTGCCTTTTATTTGATGTATGCCCTTGAAGAACTTACTCATATATATATATATATATATATATATATATATATATATATATATAGTTATATTCAATGCAGCACGCGATTCTTCATCAAATCTTATTTGAATAATATAATTGAATGATGATTAAGTAATCTATTTTACATTTTTTTTAATTTCTTTATCTTGTTTCGCATGGTTCGAACCGGATTTGATGTCACCTATTAATGTTTATCAAAAAGTTGTGCAATTAAGTGTTGGGAAAAATATCAATCATGTAAAATAAACTCGAACACGTTTTTGTAACGTGCCCATATCACAACTTAAAAATATATGGAAAATTTAATTTATAAATAATATTTTCAATATGCATGATATCTGTTTTGCAACGCAAATGTATAGTTACAACTTGTAACTATATATATATTAGAACTTGAATTTTACTTGTTTTTTCTTGGTTGGTTGTTTAGAAAATCAGAAACTCCAAGTTCTACACCCGCCTCGAAAAAACTAATATTAAGTAGTAATAGTTACATCAGTTTATACTTGAAAATATCGGGAGCAATTCTATAGTATTATGCTCCCAAATGAAAATAGACCCTTGAGAATTTGAGTTATTTTAATAATAAATTCATCATAAAAAGGATAGACAACTAAATTATAGGACATTAAGTTCTGATTTCTGTTAATAATATTTGTATACATAAAAAATGTTCTATTCTGCGTCGTGCATTTCTGGGATTACCGCAGACAATTATATCTTTCAAGTATAATTCTAATAAGATTTAATAATAGTTATAATTTGCATAATAAGATTGTGAAGCAACGTAAAATGTTTATCGATTACATATTTCTCAATCGTTTAATAAACATGAACTAATTCAGGGTCATTTTGCAAACATTTTTGCGTAAGGTCATAGAGCTATCGCAGTATTTGTTACGTAATTTATAAATTGCGCGAAATAAATTTAGCAAATCATTGTTATAAGTACTGTTAAATTTAAATTCAAAGTATTCGAAACGATTAGATGTATGTTTTATTTATATTATACACATAAATATTTGCTTTTAATATACGATATTTATTGAATCAATCATTTATTTATTGAGTAAAATTATTTTATCTTCTACTCTGGGAAAAGATAAAATTAGAACTCTAAGTAAGTATAATAATGTACTGTCCTGAGTAAAGTTTGCAATTAACTAGTAAACGATTAAGATTGATTTCATGAGAAAATATATCAAAAATATATTTACATTAATGTAATGTAATGCAATCCTAAATGCACGACTAGAACTTTTTTATTCGATACATAAATAAGTAAATATGATTTATGAGTTTAAATGTGATGCATTAGAATGATATGACGCAGATCTTAATTTAACAAACAAAAGCATTGACATCAGAAAGAAGATAATGACGTTATATAAATATATTACCAAAACTTTATCTTATTTTTGATATCGATGCATTTGTTTATTAAAATTAAGATCTGCGTCAAGCAAATAATGGACCAAGTTATATGCATACACAAATGTATTGTAAAACAGATTTGAGATAATTGTCTTATTGATATATTATTTAATTGTCAAGAATTATAATTAATGAAAAAAAATATTTTAGCTGATGTGTATTACTTGGCTCACTCAGAGATTCGTTGGGTTAGTTTTAGGTAGTTATTTTTCTTAATTTTGGATTTAGTAGTTATTTCAAAACTCATTGCTCGCTTTTATTACATTGTTGACTATTTAATACATATGTTATAAAAACCGAATTGTTTCATTTTGCCTATGAGTAGAACGAATATTAAATGTTAAATATGAATAACACAACACTCAAATTTTTACGATTTTTCAAGTAAAGATCTGAGTGTTGTGTTGTTCATATTTATGTATGTATATAAGTAAATTTTGATAAGAATTATCACGAAGGCAAAAGCTATGTTTCTTAAATATTCATATGTGTGTGTATGTGTCTAATTAGAAATACTGGTTTATATTCGATTTCAAGTAACCATCTGCATATCATTGTTTTCGATGAATTGAGCATATCAACCGTTATTCAACCTCTGACCCTTTAATGATAATAAATTTAATGAAACCAGTTCAATTCAGTTTTACAGAACTTTGAATTTCATAATCGTATAATAATTATTTTCGTAGTGTATTATTGAAAACCATGTTGTAAAATTAATTTAAACTTAAGAATATGATACATTCGTAGTGTATCATTTCTCATATTTCAATTTCATACTATTGTACCTTGAATATTAATTAATCAGAACTTAATAGTACCATAAGATTGTTGAAATGTCTTCCTAAAAGCTAGGGTTCAAAAAGCAATCCAATAGTTGGCATAGGCATATTTCCCTTTGATGAATTGATTATGATATTATGCTGACTTTTTTGTGACGATAACACTGATTCTTGATATCAGGATGTACAATAGCTCTAGTCACTAATCTATAAGAAAGCCATATATACAGGGTATCCCAGAACTTAACAGGATGTCAAGCGAAAAGGTGATAGTATTGATCATAACTGTCATAAAAAATAAATTATCATTTACAAGTTTTGTTAGTTTAAGTGCAATCTAGAGCTTTGGCGAAAATGTGACTATTATTGGTTATTGTGATTAATCTTTATTAATTTTGTTCATTTGAGCTCTTGATCTGTAATCGTAAATAACTTTTCTGAGACCACCGTCAAAAATAATAATACAATCGCCTAAACTGTAAATTTAAAATTTTCGAAATTTTAATTTTACCTCAGCTTTAAGTTGCAGTTCGTAATTTTCATACTACTTCAGACAATTTGTTTTTAATGAGAGTTATTATCAATACTATCACTATCACCCTTTGTTAGTACATCAAAAATTTTATTTGAAATGTTTGCGGTAATTTTATTTTCGTCATTATAAGTTTTTTTCAGAAATGTATTATTCTTTTAGTGTGAAAACTAATAATATACAACGATATGAATATTTACTTAATAAATCGATATTTCAGATGGTGGAGTGAAAAATCAATAGATGCTTTCCACGAAAGAGCGCAATGTTTAATCGATCAATATAGTAATTACACTGTTCCAGAAGTCGATTTGCAAATAGACGGTTTTAATACTCAGGTCAGTGACCGTTATTAACTTTCTAGCATTTTACAATTTATGTAGCTAAGTTCTACTTTCATATTTATCTTACGATTTGCTACTGCTCCTTTCAATGAAAAAAATTCGCTACATGCTAACAAAGTTGAAACCATTTTAAAGTATGTGTTCCAATAATTACATCTTAATTTTGATTAGGGAGAAAATATAGCTGATAATGGAGGTATTAAGCAAGCTTTTAGAGCATACAGGCGTTGGCTTAAACTGCATGGAAATTCAAATGAGACTCTTCCTGGTATTAACGCGACGAATACACAATTATTCTTTCTAAACTTTGCACAGGTTATCCGAATGTTTCTTGATACCAATACTCTCCTGTAAATAGCAACTATACATCAAATATCGATTTCATACCAAATTTTCATAATTTATGTCAGGTTTGGTGTGGTGCCATGCGACCTGAAGCCATGAGGAATAAGCTAAGACAGCCGTCCATAGTCCAGGAAAATTCCGTGTTATAGGAACTCTATCAAATTCTGAAGACTTCGCACGAGAATATAATTGTCCACGTGGATCGCCGATGAATCCTATAAAAAAGTGCAGCGTTTGGTGAAATTGCAGGAAAAATGTCTAATCAGTGGTCAAGTTTTACTGATGATTAAATATGCAATGAATATCTACATCGAAACATATATTTTTGTATTATTAAGTTTTTATGCACCATGTTTTTTTGTATTTATAATATATTGTCTTCAGAAATTTATAAGAAAAAATGATGAATGAAAATTCAGAAACAAGAATTAGAATAGAATGAATCAACAATATCTTCATCATTCATCAAATGAATACGAATTAATATTCAATGATAATATTAAT